CATAAAGCGAGATTGCCTACAATTTTGTCTACAGTTCCCATTCCATGTTTTTGACAATGAATTACATTTGCAAATATTATACAACTCACGGAATAGATAAATAAGTTATTAAAACATTGTCTGATTTTCATTTTGCTGCAAATATTATTATAAGTCCTACGGAATCGACAGGCGCTGATCACAACAACTTAATCAAGAAAATAGGTTTTTATAAAACATTTTTATATGTTTTCTCGTAAACATTGGTAACGATTGACTGCTTTTAAAGAAGTTTCGCTAAAATATAGGAATACTTTGATTGACAAACAAAAACTGAATATAAAAAACCAATTTTCACTAATAATAGGCATATTATTTATTTAAGTGAAATGTATTCATTTTAAAGTAATTTTCATTTTATTCGTTATTTTATTTCGCTTTGAGTTAAAATCTAAAACAGTTTTTTAAACAAATAAATTATTTTATATGTTATTTGCAATTAAATCAAAAAAGGCATTACGGAATGACTTTGACAGTAAGTGATGCATATTATACCTGTAAAAATTACTTTTTTATTAGTGATCATCTAATTTATTGATACAATCTTAGAAATTAAGTTTTGATTAATAGTCAAGATATATTTCACACCAATTTTTATAACTTATATTGTGTCAGATCCTTTTATCACTTATTTGTGGTTTAGTGTTTGTGATATTAACAATAATTTTTACATTTAATAAAATTTTTATAATAAGTAATTTAAAATATTCGGAATGCTAATAATTAATTGTAACTTATATTAATTAACTTTCTCAAAAGTTTCTAATAAGTTTCTCAAAATTATTTTATTGAATAAGCACAATTAATTTTAAACAGGTTTCCTAATTATTATATTAATTTTGTTTAACAGGTTGTATTACCTTTTACTTTATGATTACTCATCCTTTTGGTCTAAATTTCAAATTTAATTAAAATTTCGAAAATTACAAATAAAACACATTAGTTTTTTGCATTTGTTTTTGTATGAAATTTAATATTTAATTTTGCTAAATAATTATTTGTGAGAAATCATATAAATAAAAAAATCAAAATTAATTTCGATTCTAACAAACTTATTAATAATATTTTAATAATACAATATTTCTTCAGTAAACCAGAAACTTAGTAATACATGGATTAATCATTCATGTATTAATAATAAGTTGCTAATTTATAGTGATTATTGTTCAATTTATTATATGTGAATTAGTGTATTGTAATTTTCATAACTTAATATTGTCAAATACAGTAATTACTATAGTGTGTATCATATAATGTTAGTATTAGTCTTATTAAAGATACAATTTCACACTATATTCAATCATAACATTATATTAAATTAAACTAAATATCTGTGAACTTATATATTGGAAATTAATATTTGAAATTGTTTTTTAATGAAACAAGATAGTTATTTATTAATTAATTAAGTTTTTAACATTTTTAGGATTCTTAAAAACATATATTTTATTTAAAATTATTTGTTACATTGGATTATATGTTATGGTAAAACTATTTTTTCTATAGAAAATGGTTTAAAAACAATTATCAATTTATATTAAATACATTAGTATTATAGAAATATATACCTGTATATTTTAAACATAAAATAATTATCTTATATTGACTTTCTTTTTAAGTATATAATTATTAACGTATTATACTTTTATAAATGTTATAAAATGTAATGCAAACAATTACCTCATCGGTGATAGCCTTCACCTCCACCTCCATAGCCATGGCCTTCTCCACCATACCCCCCGTGACCACCATAACCACCAGTTCCACCATATCCTCCATCTCCACCATAGCCCCCATAACCACCACCACCTCCGTAGCCGCCATATCCTCCTGACCCTCCATAGCCACCGTAGCCACCCGTTCCACCATAACCTCCAGTGCCACCGTAGCCACCGGTGCCTCCATAACCTCCCTCTCCTCCGCTACCCCCATAGACATTGATTTTATGCTTATGAGTGGCGTGTTTGACCGGGATATAAACGGGCACTTTTGACAGTATTTACAATTAATCTCAATTTAATTGAAATTTAAATCAAGAATGAATACCAGATTTAGTCGAGTGATGATAATAATGACCGCCACCACCTCCGCCCCCAATAGGTATTGGTATAGGAATGGGCACTGAAATAAAAACTCTATTATATAAATGTGCTAATTTCAAAATATTGATTACCTATTTGTGAACCGCCGCCACCATGATAATAGTGACCTCCGCCACCTCCACCTCCACTACTTCCGCCACCAATTATAATGATATCTCTGTGGCTATTCTTTTGGCATTCAATGGTATTCATAAATATCATATTAATTAACGAAAGGATAAAGAAGTCGTTGAAAGTGATTTGAAAATACATTTTGAGAAATCACTTATTAATGAATAGAAATCAAAACTGAACGGTTAGTACAGTTATGGACTAGTAGTACACAAACTATCCATTCAGATAAATAAATTAAAATAGATTTAGTGACAGAAGTGGTCTTATATATGGCTACCATTTCTTATATATACTGCCAATACTTTCGTAACGATTGAATGACTTTCAGGGAAAAGTATCTCCAAAATAGAAATGCATTATATTTTTTGGAAATAATTTTATTTGCAAAAAGTCCAAATCCTATAAATAATTTAATTATTGTATTATACTTTTAATTCAATACAGTATCTACCGTATTAGAAAATAAATTGATTTTTAATTTTAATTTTATAATAATTTTAATGCTATTAGTATTATCACGGAGTTAACAGAATTAGCCAAAATTTTAAATTAATTTCAATCAATTATTTAAAATAGATTATTTATTTTTTATCGGCTATCTGGTACTTGTGTACTCAAATTGAGACAACTTTTTAGTTCAATGCATATTATATACGGAAGCCTTATATTTGGATAACAATTCTTACTTTAGTATTAGACAGTAAACAGTTTGACAATATGTTATACAAGTTAATTATATTATAAATATTGCATTGAGCTTATTTTGCATAGTCATGTAATGTTTTTTGCTATACAATAAATTTTATTAAAAAATTTATTACCGTAAGTAATATTTGGAATTATTATTTTCAAAACACAAATAAAAGTGATCATATAATTATATTTAAGACATTTTAGGGAGATATTAATAACAACTCAATAGTAAAGTCACTTAATATACTATATGTAACTTAAT